GCGGGCGGATTGCTCGAGGTCAGGAGTTCAAAACCAGCCTGAGCAAGAGCGAGACCCCGTCTCTACTATAAATAGAAAGAAATTAATTAGCCAACTGATATATATATATAAAAAATTAGCCGGGCATGGTGGCGCATGCCTGTAGTCCCAGCTACTCGGGAGGCTGAGGCAGAAATGTCACTCAAGCCCAGGAGATTGAGGTTGCTGTGAGCTAGGCTGATGCCACGGCACTCACTCTAGCCTGGGCAACAAAGTGAGACTCTGTCTAAAAAAAAAAAAAAAAAAAAGCAAGACCTTGAACAATTAGTGTATTTTCATGAACATTAGTTCCTTCCCTGGTAAAAAATAATAATAATAATAATAAAATCAAATACTGCAGGGCTGATATGATAAATGGTAATTACATAAAGCACCAAGCACAGCTCCCAGCGTACAGCAGGTGCTCAATGTATGGTCTTATTAAAGGGTCTGAAATATTCACTATATTATGTTCATAAACACAAAGATACGTCTACTGGTGCCACTGTTACTTTTTATCCACTAGAAATTAACTATTTACTTTCCATCTCTGTGGATGCCTCCAGAGATCAGAGCTTTACAGACTTTTTCCCCTTTCTCTTTTCGGTATCAATTTAAAACAAAGTTAACCCCTTCCCATCTCTAATACAGAGCTATTACCCAACAGATAAATACTTATATGGATGCTTTTAAGAAAACACAATATAGTTTCCCTATTTAGAAAGGGGAAGGAAAAGCCTCCCGAGCATTTAAAGCGTGTTTAACTTTTCATATCAGAGTTCTAAAAAACTGTTTTAATTTACTGCAATGTGAAATGATAGGAAAGCCAACAAGAAGTTTCAAATCGCTGGAACCCATCACCTTCCCACAATCTGACGACTAGTTAGACGCCTCTTCAGCGTTGTTTCACAACACAACTAAGTAGAGTACCTACATAGAACCATGTTACCGGAAGGCAGACAGACACTGTCCTCGACTCAATTTTGCAACCAAAATGTTGACTCTACTCTCAGTAACATGTGGAAGAGGGTGAAGGAAAAGCCTCAGTGCCGGGCCAGGGAAGACAAAGCCATCCACTCTCCGGTCGCAGGAGAGATGATGTCAGGAGATCCTCACCTCCAACTTTGACCAGGGGGGTGCGGGGTCAGGGAGGGGACCCATCAGCCGAGAGGCCCGACCCCCGGCCCACGCATTCCCAGAAAAAAGTGTGAAAGAGCAAGACGCCGGCCCCAGGCCCTTGTTGCTCCAAGCCGGCGGCCTCGTCTTCGGGGTCTAAGGGCGTGGGGAGGGAAAAGGCTGGGCGGCCCTGGCCCCATCTACAGACTCCGGCACCCCGCGCGCTGCTCCCCCTCGCCCCAGGCCCCGCCGCGCCGCGGCCCGCCAGGCGTCCACCGAGGGCGCCGCCCGCGCCGCGAGGGAAGATGGCGCCCGCCGAGCAACTGCGCCACCAGCCCTGGCGGCCGGCCAGGCCCAGCGCCATCTTAGCGCCTTCCAACCGCAACCCCACGGCCAGGATTCCGCATTCGGGGCGACTCGGGGGGGCGCGAACGGCGTCAGGCCAGCGCATTCTCGGCGAAAAAAAGCGCCGCCACGGCGCCAGTCTCTTCCGGCCGGCCCGGCGGACAGCGCGGGCTTCGCAGGAGGCGCCTGGCTGGGCCGCGGATCCTCCGCGAAGTGCTGGGGCTCGGCCGAGCCCGGCCGCGGATCCTCGGCGGTGCGTCGGGAAGGCGGCAAGGCGGCCGGGAAGGGGCAGCGGCGCGGGCGGGTGTGCGCCGCCGCTGCCGCCGCAGGCTGGGGCCGGGGCCGGAGCGGGGACCGGGCCGAGAAGGCCAGCCAGCCCCGAGCTCTCCTCGCCGCGGCCGCCCGAAGATGCGGCGCGAAGGAAGAAGCCGGGATGAAAAATAAACCCTGTCCTCGCCGCCTCCCTCCCCACCCCGTCCCCTCCCCCTCCGACACGGGGTCCATTTTGCCGAGAAGAAAGAAAATGAGATTCACACCCTAGAGCTTGCGAGGGAGAAAAGAAGCGAGGGGGGGAAAACGGAGGGGAGGAGATTGGAAAAGCTTATTTTTCTTCCTCGCCCGCCGTCACTGCAGGCCCTCCCTGCCCCCAGCTCGCTGCCCCGCCGCGCCGTCCTCCCCTCGCCAAGCCCCGCTCCCTCCTTCCCGGCTCCCGGCGGCTCCGGGGGGCGGAAAACACACTCACACTCGCGCACACAACTAATTTTAAACCGGCTCAATCAATGAGTCATTAAAAGGCTTCCCTCCCCTCCCCTCCCCACCACCAACCGCCACGCCACCCCCCTTCCCGGGCTCTCTCTCTCCCTCTCCCCGCTCCAGAAATTTGCATCCGCGGAAAAGAAAAAAAAAGAAAAGAAAAAGAAAGGCGCCGGGGCCCCCACCCCGCCGAGGCGCCCCCGGCCTGGCCCCGCCGCAGTCGCTGAACTTGGTCTTCCCGGGGCCCGGGCGGCGCTGGGAGAGGCACCAACACTCGATTCCCCTTTTCTCCGTGTCCATTAAACATCCACCCACCACCACCATCACCCACCCACAAACCCACCCCCCCCAAAAAAAAACACAGCCTTAGCCAATAGCTCTCTGGGCTGAAACCTAATATCCTGGTTTTGGCAACTCGGTGTTTAATTTGCTCCTCTTTCTTTCCTGTCCGTCTGGAGATAGATCTCCAGCCCCCCCACCCCTCCCCGGCTTTTCCCCTCCCCGAAGGAAAGAGGCAGAGGAAGGAGGTTGTGTGTTTTTTTTTTTTTCTCCTTGAAATTTTTATCACAAAATTATAATACACTCAAAGGGAAACTCACCGTCATGAAAAAGCAGTGCCTTGTCAACGGGGTTTCTGCGCCATCGCACCAGGGGCGGCGGCGGCGGCGGCGGCGGGCGCGGGGCGCGGGGCGCGGGCGCGGGAGCTCCCGGCCGAGCGGCGCCGGCCACACGCGCTCCGCTCTCTCTCTCGCTCACCCCCGCGCCGGGCGGCGGGCGCCCGCTCCCCGCGCCCGCCCGGCCTTCATGCTCCGCGCCCGGGCGAGCCGCTCGCCTGCTCGTCTACCTCCAAACTTCGGTTCTCGCCTGGCAAAAAAAAATGTGGAGATTAGGATTTTAATTTTAAAAAAAATTTTTTTTTTTTTTTAAATCAAGCTTCAAGGATGTTAATTCCTGTTTCCTCTGGGATTCTTTTTAACTTCAGACATGTATTGGTTTATTCAAGAAACGGGTTTATTTGGCTTTTTTTTTTTTTTATTAAGATCTACAAGGTGCGTGTTAATTCTCCGCAGGCGCCCTGCACACACACACACACACACACACACACGTACACACACGTCTCCACTTTTAGCTTGACACGGATGGGGAAGAGGTTAAAGACCAAAAATTTAAAAAAAATTGAAAACCACGGTATTTGTTTAGAGCTCTAATTACAGAAAGCCTCAGTAAATACTTTTTTGCATATGCTTTTTAAAAACCAAACCCACTTTTAACTTAGTTATTTGGCAAATAATTGGTTTCATTCTAACTTTTAAATGTACCAAGCTTTGCTTTGCAACATCCTCTTTTCCATTCCACAAAGCGGTGAAACCTGTATGGTCATCATTATAAAAGGAAAACAAAACAAAACTTTAGCGACTACAATGAAGGTGAGGAGCTGAGTAAATCACTCTCAAAACATTCATTTCCTACTGCCTTCTCTTTATGTAGGTATCTTTTATCTCCATATTTATGGAATTTTCATTACATAATCCCATTCTTAAAAAGAGAGCTACCAAACCTTTGAACACTCTTGGGTCCAAGTATAATAAACCACCCGTTTTAAATCTCAAATCTCAAATTCTTGAGACTTCTCCATAAACTAACTAGTACCCAGAGTGTTTAAATTATGGTAGTACCCAGTAGGAGTGTGTGCTTTTGTAGTCTAGGTTAAATACAAATGCTCACAAACTATGGGGGGGAGTGTTGTTGTCTTTTATTTTAAATAAACATCAAGAATAGGTAAAAGATAAATTGTACAAGAATGTAATTCGAGTTTAAGAAAATATGTATGTAATCCTCTGAAAATGTTCCAAAATTTTAAACAATTCATTTGTAATGCGTATAGCAATGGTATCCTGCTGATAATAGAATGCTCAAACCTGTGTCCCCCAGATATTTGGTAAATTCTAAATAAAATTATCCCTAGATTTAAATTATTTAGGTGAAATTATTGTTTGGTTTGTATATCCTCGTAGCATTAAAATACTTAATAGTAGTGCACCTTTCTTGCTCATATAAGGATACTGTAACTAGACTATATTGTACGAAATAAATGTGTCAAGCCTGGCGTACAATGTTGTCATATTCAACATAGAAAATCTTTTTAAAAATAAACCATATCTTGTTCTGATACTGCCACTCTGTCATTTGTAACGTACGTTTTGTATTTAAATATGCCTTAAAAATACATTCAGTGATTTAGTATCACATAGTATCATCAAGGTGTTTTCTCAGACATTTTGCTTCAAATGCAGCCAAGGCCTTCCTGGAACAGTAATCTTTGCATAAATTAGCATATTTCTCTACACTTGATGGTTGGACCAAGCAGTTTTCTAATTGGCTTGGGAAATTTTTAAACACCTTTTAAAGTGCCTTTGGATTGGCTGGAATTTAATTATAATACCCATTTCAAAGAATTACATTTCAAAAGCGTCCATGGATTATTCATTGCAATTAGGGCCCACAAAGCAAGTTTTACAGCTGTTGCTCCACAGCTCCAATGAAATATTAATGGATTTCAGAAAAATATCCTTCCAAGTTGGCCAAAACCCCAAGGAAATATGAAATCTGACTTTAAAAGATGATGTAACAAAGCTGAATTTATATACTTATGAGTCTAGGACATTGCAGGCTTTTTTAGAGAATACCCAAATATAAGAGCATTGACATTTATCGAGGGCCTACTAAGTGCCTCCAGGCATTATGCTACATACTTATATGTATTGTCGCAGAAACCTTCGCTCAAACCTGTAGGATAAGCTTTAATTATCTTGATTTTGCTGATGAGGCTCCCAATGTTTTTGGCAATTTGCCTGGGGTTATCAGTCTAAGAAGGGCAGATGGGAGAACCAGGTCTGGTTGTCTACAAAACTTGCCCTCTGTCAGGCTTGAAAAGGATCTTGGGAACAAGCAGTCCTTGCTGTTTCAATGTAAACATTAGAGTCCAGTGGTGTGGCATAAGCAAAGGGGACAACCCTTTAATTAGTGAAGACCTACTTGAGAATGCCAGTTTTCCAACCTAATTTTAAATCTGGGGGAAGGGTTTGCAAAATACTGGGGCTGCAGTGAGAGGATCTCAGATTTGCCACAAACCACTAAAATTGTAATCATTTAATAATATGCCAAAACAAAAAACAGCCTTTTAAATTTTCCCCCATATGATAACAAAACATTTTAAATAAGGGATATGCCTTTATATGTAAAATTTTAAATTATGATTTGCAGAGACAGGATTTTGGTATGTGAATGTAAGATTAAGAAATTTTTAAGAGGAAAAGTTCCTAAAATGGTATTACTACATGCAGATAACTTTAATTGTATTGTTTGTAACTTAATTATATGCAATTAAATGGTCACTCCTATGATTCCCATCCCTGTATGTGACCTAGAAAGAAGGGCAATTGGACAAAGGAAAAAAGGGAGGATGTAATTACAGCTGAAATGTTCTAGCATGTGTTTGGGCCTCCAAATAAACAGGCTCAATGTCCATATAACAATTAAAAGTGAAAGAGGCTTTTTTTCTCCCTCTAAATGTTCCCCTTGGTTGGTTGGCTATCCTCAGAGGGGAGGATGCAAATGCTGGAGATTAAGTAATGATATGCATGACCAGATGTGTCCAGATCACAGAAATACCAAACATACCAGCAGAACTAGTATTCTACAGAGTGTCTGTAAAATAAAAAAATTACATTTCTTGATGTGCATAAATAAGGTGCATATCTTTATTTGTACCTCTAAAGGTACTTATATTCAGGGTTTAAGTGTACTGTCTCTATACTCAGACTGATCTAGGCTCAAATTCCACTGCTGTCACTCACCAGATGTGTGGCTTTGGGCAAGTCATTTCACCCCTCAAAGCCTCAACTTCCTCTTCTATGAAACAGGGGTAATTATAATACCCACCTCTGAGAGTTATTTTTAGGATTCAGGAACAAGTGCATGTAAAATGTTTATTAGTACGGTGCCTGAAACATAATGAGAATTCAATACATTCAGCCAACATTATATTGCCTTATTTTATTATGTGTCAGGTTGAGCTATGTGAAATCTTCCTATGTGAATACCTGATAATTCAACCTAATGTATTTCTCTTACGTTCCTTTCTGGATAAGGAGCTCCCCATGGGCACCAAGTCATCATCTCCATCTTTTTACTCTATGGGAGCCCAGCAGGGTACTTTGTATATAGTTAGCTCACAATCAATACTTTTGGGATAAAGGAAAAACAGCCCAGTCCACAAGATTTACAAGAATACAAAAATTGAGTGTATATCTATCTAGAGACCTATATATTAATATTAAGGGGGTAAAGCAAAGTCTCCCTAAACCACATAAAATCATTGTCCAACTGATCACTGTATAACCTAATGGTTTAGTTTTCTCTCTCCAGCTGGTTTTATTGCCACACTTTAACCATGTGATGTTGGCCTACTTTTTAAACTTCTCAGACCTCAGTTTCCTCACCAGTAAATTGGAGATAACAATACCTATATCTGGGGTTGGTGGGTAGAGATCTAAATGATATTAGGCATATAAAACCCTTGCTTTAGTGCCTGGTCTATAGTAAATATTCAATAATAATTGCCATTATTGTGGTTATTGCTATTATTAGAAGTAACGTGGAATTGTGCAAAGTGCAAATGATTTAAAAAAACAAGTAATGTGGAACTGTTTTCAAAGCAATGATAAGCAATTTATTGGAGCAATTACAAATGTTTTCAATATACTGTCTACATTATTATTTTATTTAATATATGAATATAAACACTTTAAATCACCTTTGTAGAGGCTAAGGCTATTCTAGACATGACATATTTCAAGCTGGTTATTTTCCTTGACAGACTGTTAAAAAAATTTGAACTCCTACAAGCTTCCAGTACAAGGATAAGGAATTAATACAACATAGCAGAGCTGTTAAAAAAAGAGAGAGAAAGGCATTCAGCACTCCCACTGGCCTTCCTGTTTTACACATCTAGCCTGTTTCCCCACAGAGTATGTGAGGGGGAGGAAGCCATCAGGTTATGGGGCCACCACATGCTACTGGAAGGCATGCCTAGCATGTGCCACTCAACAGCTCCCAGGCTGCCTTAGTACTCTACCAGAGCCCTTCCCTCACCTAAACACAGCATTGTGTCCACTCTACCACGCCCAGGAAGATGGTGGATTGTAGAGGAGGTAGAATGGAGGTCACATAATCAGGCTTTAAAGTTCTGCTACAAAGTACCCTTGGAACTTGGTGAGAAAGTCAGCCTCTAAGATAGGGTACCATGTGGCCAGCGCGTGGCTCACGCCTGTAATCCTACCTCTCTGGGAGGCCGAGGCCCCCCCCCCATTGCTCAAGGTCAGGAGTTCAAAATCAGCCTGAGCAGAGTGAGACCCCATCTCTACTATAAATAGAAAGAAATTAATTGGCCAACTAATATATATAGAAAAAAAATTAGCCAGGCATGGTGGCGCATGCCTGTAGTCCCAGCTACTTGGGAGGCTGAGGCAGGAGGATCGCTTGAGCCCAGGAGTTTGAGGTTGCTGTGAGCTAGGCTGATGCCACACATCAC